AGCTACTAATGTAACATTCTTAATGATCAATCTTTCCTTCAATTCACTTTTAATAACTCAACTGATGACCTGCTGATAGAGACAGCAAACAAGTAATAAATGACAGGAGGATAAGAGCAGGGACACACACAGGCATGAGGGCACATAACAAAGAAACTCAAAGACATTCACAGAACAATGGAACTCTGGGTTGTTCTCCCATTTCCCCCTATCCTCCTGGTTCTCAGGTCAAGAAAATGGTGAGAGTGTGTGACTGGTTTGGAGTTATGACTGAGCTAATGACTTGCCTTTTAAATAAGAAGCTAAGATTTTTCACTTGCTGACCATTCTCCCAGAAGGCCCTTGAATAGCTCAGTCTATTAAGTTCATTAAGTAATCCCCGCCCATCAAGCTTCAGAGTGTGCCCCAATTAAAATAAATTTTATTGAGAGAACCACAGGATAGTGCTGTAAGGAGCTTTGGAATTATCGCCCCAATAAATGGGTGATGAAAATTAGGTTTATGTAGTTAAGCGATATTTTGCTTAAATGTAATGTATTTTGCTCATTTTATGGCATGTGAAGTGCATTATGCTCCTTCCTACTGGTGAAGCTTCTAGAAGTTTTATAACCAGCCTATATAAAAATGCCCAGCACATATATAATCCTTTGGATTTAGATTTCAAATCATTAATTTAAAACTACTATATGTTCTCAGAAAATAAAAAATTAAAAGTACCTATAATTCTTCATCTCTCTAGACTGTCATAGGATGACCTAATCCATCAATGACAGTCTTGGTAGCTCCATGTAATGTTTAGGGATTTGAAAGTTTGTTCGTAATGAATTCAAAGGGTTTTTTAGTGATTGTTGCTGTTTTATCAGAGCTCCCTACTTTAAAAAATAAGTTTATTGATTTTCTAGAAAGAGGAAGAGAGAAACATTGATGTAAGAGCCTAACATAAATCAACTGCCTCCTACACAGCCCCTACTGGGGATTGAGCCCGCAACCCAGGCATGTGCCCTGCAAGCAACCTCTAGGTGCACTGGACGATGCCCAACCAGGGCTGGGCTCCTGACTTTTTAAAATCTTCTGGTGCAGAGTTATTTCTAAAGTGCATGTCAAATTTGCTCATCTCTAAATTATGGAATATGTCTTTTGCTATTGTTGAAATGATGGACCAGTCAATTTTGTTAATTTTAAGTACATTTGGATTTTAATATTTTTTAAGTTTTTTAAAAATATATATATATTTTGATTTCAGAGAGGAAGTGAGAGGGAGAGAGAGAGAGAGAAACAGCAATGATGACAGAGAGAATCATTGATCGGCTGCCTCCCATGCCCACATGGGATTGAATCCACAATCTAGTCACGTGCCCTGACCAGGAATCAAACCATGACCTCCTGGTTTATAGGTTGACACTCAACCACTAAGCCCAGCCTGCCAGGCTGTCAGTGTTCTTCTTATCCTTTGGGTCTCCTCAGAGAGTCCTTATCTTGACCTCCCAATCATGCCCCTACCCTTGTATAATTTTCCTCATAGCACTTATAAATATAATGACAATGTTTATTTATTATCTACCTTCTTCACAGTTAC